GAAGGGTTTCTAAAGGTTTGGGGTTTAGGTTTATAGTCCCCCTTAAGTAGATAGAATATGGGGGTCTATGGGGATCTTATTATGATATACCCAAAGCCATATTCTATCTACTTACGGGGGACTATGGGGTTTAGTGCTTCGTTCCCTAAAGATTAGCTGGGACAAGAAGCATTTCAAACCCACAGGTTTAAATGTTCTGGAATGGGTTCCTATTGTAAGGAAGTAACATGCCTACCACGGTTGCGAAATAGAGTCCCTGCAGAATTATTGGCAGGCGCCCCTATAATACCTCATGCGCTCCCTACGCCCAAAACCCAAAACTCTGCGTAGCCTTGTTGAGAACCCACAAGCGAAGGGCCTTAGGGTGCTCCCTACGCCCTGAACCCGAAACCCTAAACCCAGAATCCTTTGCACCTTTGTTGAGAACCCAGAGGTGAAGGGCCAAGAGGGCCTTAGGTTCTTGGACACCTTTAGCTTCGAGGACCGCCTGTACGCTTTCTCCCTTCTTGGCATGGCCGTCCCTTGAATGCTAAATGAGCCAAAGTCTAAACTCCTTAAAGGCGGATTTTATACGGGATTCTATACGGGAGTCTTATAGTATAGATAAGGTTATTAAGGGGGGATACTAGGCGTTTAGACTATAGCTCAAGTGAAGCCCTGAAGCTGGGTTATATGCTTGCATATATACATGCACCAGGGGAGTGTAGAATAGGATTTAGGGCTTCACTCCATGGACCGAATATTTTTTTTGGGTTCGTGCACGACCAAGGTCAGCCTAATCTGCTTCTCTGCGCCAATCGGGCGTCTTTGGGTATTGATACAGAAGCGGGATGGCTCCTCCGTATTTCTTCCATATGCCGTGGCCCAGTGTGCCCACAACCTGGCGTCCAGCTCATTGGCAAATAGCGTTCTTATTTCTTGAGTCTGAAGTATGACCCCCTAAACCCTACAAACCCTAAACCCTACACCCTGAACCGTTCTAAGTTTTTGACCCTACACCCTGAATCTGACTATGTTTTGTATAGAATCCAATTGCCCAACGGCTGCCTAGGTGTGGATGAGCTACGGCTTTGTGTTGGGCAACATGGCGGTCATGGCCCCAAACATCCCGGGCGTTTTCTGCACAGTCTCCCAGATCCTTATCAAACTGCAGTGGCCCGGGGATTCAGATGACCACGTGAAGGAACAAAGACATCTCCATGATTCTGCGGAGTTTTCCTAAGATTAGGCTACTATTTTGGGGGTCCCCGTAGTAAGGATTATAGATTATAGTATTCTGAGCTCTATACCCGGGCCCCCATACTTGCGGAAACTGCCGCATATACCTACATCCCTGTGAAGTTTTTTTGTCTCTAGATCTTACATGCCAGTGGAAGAAAAAAGGTACACCACGTAAGGGATAAGCCCTCACCAAAACGCTTCCCTGAACCCTAAACCCTAAGGCCTAAACCTCTATTACCTATTACCATTTAAAGTTTGATGTCCTTATCCGGCAGGCCAAAAGTGCCAACCCCTCTGTTTAGAGGAAGGGGCTTGGCACTATTTGGCCTTATCCGGCAGCCCAAATAGTCCCAACCCTCCTGGGCCTCTAAAGGTTAATGTCCCTATCCGGCAGGGCCAAAGAGTGCCAAGCTCCCTTCCACTATTTGGCCTTGCCGAAAAAGGACATTAAGCTTTTTAAGGCGGGGTTGGCACTATTCCGCCTGCCGGAGAAGGCCAACTACTGCCAAGTCCTCCTGGTTTTAAGGCTATACAAAATAAGGTGTGGTAGAAGGGCGGCGGTAGCATGAATTTGAATATTTTGAAGATGATACATTGCCTTAGTGCTGTGGGGTCCAATGGCGGGTGGATATTTTCCTATGACTTAAGACAACTGTTCTTGGAATGGATGCTTGGACTTGAGATGCTGAACCCCAAGCCCTAAACCCCAAACCCCAAACCCTAAACCCTAAACCCAAAACCTTGAGCCCTAAACCCCTACACCTCAAAAAGGAACTACATCGGAGCTTCTCAGGATGCTTTAGGGCTTTACAGGTACTGTACCCCTTGGGGTAATATTAGGGCTAAACCCCCAATCCAAAACCCTAAACCCTAAACCCCTAAACCCTAAACCCTAAACCCTAAACGGTTCAGAGATTTAGAACCTTGAAAGCCCGGCATTGACCGTTCTCCAAACCGGCGTCCCTCTGCATCTCCCTATAAAAAGTGGGTTTTCCTGGTTTTTTGGGGGTCCCTATAACCCTAAACCCTAAACCCCTAAACCCCAAACCCCTAAACCCTATAGTACATGAGGACATGAGGGTGTATATTGGGGTCCCCTCATTTTGGGAAACGACCATAAAGCTCTGAGCAGCGGCCGGCTTTACGGCAAGGTCCCTCCAGACGTGACGTGAGAAATCCCTAGACTGGCCCCAAAATCCTAAGCCCAAATCCTATATCCAAAGCCAGAAGCCCAAGACCTCAAAGTCAACACCCCAAGTCCTAAACCCAAAGCCCGGAAACCCTAAACCCTAAGCTTTAAACCCTAAACCCTAAAGCGCCCTGAAGGAGAAAAGCTTTGCCAATGAGCATTCCCAGGGAGCTCTCACAACGGTGGCTGCCGGAGTCTCCTCCGGCAAGCACGAGAAGAAGGAGGCTGAACCTTCTGCTGTAATGCGTTTAGGGTTGAGGAATTAGGGTAGAAGCCTAGGGTTCCGTAATTTAGGGTTCGGGATGTATGCAGGCTTGAGGGTTTAGGGCCCATAGGGGCATGAAGAGTTAGAATGTTGGAAAATCGCGTGGAAAAGAACATGGGACATGAAATTGAAACTGGGCTTAAATAGTAGTAGTTTACGGAGATTGAGCAAAACAGTTCCCAATATGGTGGTAGATGCTTCGATTAATTCTGGTATAGGGCACCTCAAATAGACCTCCAAACCAGTCTCTTTGTACTTTTCTAAGGGTTTAGGGTTTATGGTACGCATAAATCTCGGGTTTATAGGGTGTAGTGCTTGACGTTCAGGATGTTCTTGGGGAAGCGGACTGCTTATCAAACATCATTATGGTCGCCATGGTCGCTACTCTCTTGTGTGCTGGTTGCTTCAGGGTGCGATGCGATCGTCACACTTGTTGTTTTGCTTTTCTTCGTGACGTTCACCGCTTCCCGCTGAAAGGAAAACATGCGCCACTCTTCACGTAACAGCAGTTTCCTTAAACTCTAAACCCTACACCGTAAAAAGAGTTGTGTGACGACCTATGCAAGATCGACGTCAAAGCCAAGAAATTCTTGGATGCCAGAATATTAAATTCAAATGCGCTATAGTCTAAAGTGCTTAAAGGGAGTTAGATACGGGATTATATATGGGGAGCCATTATAGAGTTATGAAGCGTGATGCTCGGAGCTTAGACTCTTCCTTAAATGCACTATAGTGCGAGGAAAAGCAGCATGCCCTCATGTCCAGAACTCATGCCAAGCAGAAATAGTCTCCTTCCAAAGACAAAGCCCCCTCGCCCGGCTAATTGAGAAATATTACAGGAACACGTATTATGTGGCGTAGTGTGTTGTAGGGTTTTGTCATTTTTATAAAGGGACTCTACTGGGA